ATATAACCCAACCGAAACCTAGCTCATCAAGGGTGCAGCAGCAGCCGCCTATAACTCACCATTCCCAGAAGTTTCACCAGCTTCTATGAACACGAAGCAACCACAGCTGGTCTCCTTCCCGCTGGTCTCCTTCCCGCTGGTCCCACCAGTAACTAATTTCTCCGAAGATGCTCCATCAAACAAACTCAATGGCCATCATCAAATCCATGCAAGCAAAAGATGACTGATGGAAACAGTTAAAAATTGAGGATGTAATTTTGTATTGATTTTTTTGTAATATGGGGTTTATAAAGACCCCACAACAATATGTAATCGAGGTTGGCTTCCCTCGTTCAAAAAATAACTCTCTCGATTGAAGGGAAAAGCAATAGCAACCCAGAAAATTCAGAAGCAATTCTTTTGCTTTCATTCTTTTTTATTCATTTTTCTTCTTTTCGAAACAAAAATAGAAAAGAAAGAGCCTAAACATATTCGAAACAAATAAAGTAAAAAATCAAAAATAGAGAAATAGAGAACCTTACCTCTCGGCTAATGACATTTGTGATAATTGGACCTCTGTCGGCTAATCTGAACGGTGAGAAGGCATGGTATGTCCCCGAGAACAACATATTTCAAAACCAACAATATCTAACGACGAACGGAGGAGATCAATGAAGTGAAAGTTGGAACATTCTCAGCCTTTTGTTAGGAAATATTAATCGATTCACACGAGTCGATAGATATAGTTTGGACCCCAACGGCCATCGAATACGGCGACCGATACGATGGTCGACGATGACCGTTGATCTTTGAGTAGCTTGACCCGTCCTCTTGTGATTGGTCCTAATGGCAAGGTGTGTGGTGCTTGTATCATTGCACGTACATCATATGGATGTAAAGACTGCATTTTTGAATGAAGATCTAGACGATGAGATTTATATGGAGCAACCACTAGGTTTTGAAGTTCAGAAGGTAAAGTGTGTAGACTTAAAAAATCACTTTATGACCTTAAACAAGCTCCAAAGCAGTGGTACAAGAAATTTCACAAAACTATTTTATGCATTGGTTTCATTGTAAATGGAGCGAATGCATGTGTGTATTTGAAAATGTTTGGGACTGATTGTGTCATCATGTTTGTATGTTGATGACATGTTGTTATTCATTACTAACATCGATTTCATTAACAAAACCAAAAATTTCTTGTCCAATAAATTTGAGATGATGGACTTAGGAAAGATTGATATGTTCTTAAGAGTTAAGGTTACCAAACCGATAAGTGATTTTCTTTAAATCAAACTTACTATACTAAGAATGTGTTAAAATTTTTTGACAATTTTAATGTAACACATGTTAGAACTCCTTATGGCTCTTGTATACGACTCCTTAAAAATAAAGGAAATTGTGTTTCCCAATAATAGCATGCTAAAATCATCATAAGCCTTATGTTCTTAATGAACTATACTCAGCCAGATGTTGCCTATATTGTGAGTAGGTTGAGTGGATATACTCATAATCCTATTGGTGAACACTAGATTGCACTAAGATGCTAACTTAAGTATCTTAAAGGTACTATGTATTAGAAACTCGATTTTGTTGGTTATCTTTCAGTTTTAGAAAGATATTGTAATGTTAAAGGGGTTACTGATAATGATGAAGTAAACTATATGAGTGGGTATATTTTCACCTTAGGTGGCATAGCGATCTTATGGAAGTCTACTAAGCAAACTTGTATCGCTCGTTCTACCATGGAGTCAAAGTCCATTGATCTTGACTTAGTTGGGCAAAAAGCTGAGTGGCTTAGAAACTTGTTAGCATAAATACCTTTGTGGGGAAAACCGACTCCTCTGGTGTTCTTGTTGTGTGATTCACAAACTATGATATGTGTGGCTCAAAACCAAGCTTACAATTGTAAGAAGAAACACATTCTCTTTAGACATGAATCAGTAAGACATTTAATACAAAAATGAAGTACTTTTTTAGAGTATGTGAAGTTGGAGATGAACCTAGTTGATCCGCTTACCAAAGGGTTAAGCCAAAAATTGGTTCTGGATTCGTCGAGGGGGATGGGTCTAAAACTCATTGGTTGAAAAATTCATGGTGGATACCCAACTTAGTTATATAAGTTCAATGTAGTCAAACGAAGCCATGAAAAGACTCATAGCGTACATTTTCTTACATATCCTTATGAAGAATAATGTACATACACGTGATGGACTTAATTACTCTTAATAAATTCATAGCCCAACCTTTTGATGGTCTTAGTGAATAAGACTTGATGAATTTATCGATCTTGGCTGAATATCTATTCTTAATAAGTTCACAACCCATTGTTGAGTAGGTAGTCCTAATCGCGACGGACTATGTGAACTTACCGCTAGAGGGGATGAGTTTTCTTAAAACTTTTACTGAATTCAAACACAAGAGTTTGGGTGTTCCTAGTGAGAAGAATATATTGAGTTCATCAATTAATAATGTTTAATATTTATTCTTAATGATTTTTAACACATAGTGTAGGTGGTTCATTTAATATGAACTTGAAGAAATCCACGTTACTTATCGGGAGGATGAGCTATCGTAAAAGCTCTAAATTATTTCATAGCTCAATTTTAGGTGTTTTATGTTGAGATAAATTTGATGAAATAACCTACGTAAGTGAGAAAGATTAATCATATTCTCTGAAAAACATTGGGTTGTATTTTTAATACACTTACTAGAATCCTGAGGAAAGAGTGTTACACTTATATACATATATGTATATATACACTTTCTAGACGTATTGAGGACTTTGTTGGATAAGAGGTTAGTTGTGTGCTATGAGTTCACCCTAATATTAGAAAGTTCAAGATTCGATCATTTATCTAAAAGAAGAATTACTTATTATCACTATGTACTAGTTTTAGATACGTTCACTAGTGCTTAAGCAGCTAATCTCACAATTGTTCTTCTCTCGATTTTTAAAAAATTTAAAACATTTTTCTCTTTTCAAATAATTTTTTCGTATTTTGTAGTGCATATAACCCACATAGAGAAGGTAAATACTCTTGGGAATGTATCTAAAAAGATAGTCTTTCTCTTCCTTATTAAATGTGGTGAAACAACTCTCTCGCACACGTGTGTTGTAACACCCTGAACCCGATTGGGCCCAAAGTGTCACACTAGGCTACCAAGGCAACCCCTGATTTTCAAAACATGTTCATTTTCCTTTCAAACATATTAAATGGTATCATAATTAAAACATAATTAACTATTATAAAAACATTTTACAAAACCAGAGCTCCATGATACATAATTTAAAACAAAAATAATACAAACTCTGAGTTTAATAAACTGAATACATGAGTAAGATTCTATGAATACATACGACCAATAAAGCTACAATATAGTACTTTGTCAGAGGTGCTAGAAATCTGCTGCAACGGTACCCTACAAACTACCCAAGCTACTAACCTGGTAACGGAAAACATCCGAAGGCTGAGCTTACAAAGCCTAACAGTATAATTGCTAATATAGAACAACATAAGAATTTCATAAACACAAGCATGATGAAGACATTGTACTAAGTAATAGGTACATACATGATCTAGATCAAGTGCTACCTACTTAAGGCTTTACTGTTCTATGACTAGAGTAGAAGTCTCGCACTTCTCTTAGTCTTCTTCTAAAGGCCTAACCATGAGTACGCCTCTGAAGGGTTTCTATCCGTAATGAATGTAACTGCTACACATTATCTAAATGCGACACTGATACTCCTGTTCATTATCTGAATGCAAACCTGACCATAATGTGCATTATTTGAATGCACCCTTACTAGTAACCGGTGTCACATAGCATCAGTACAATTCCCGCCTATTTGAAGCATTGGCTCAGTCTCACATAGCCTTCAAGCCAAGCTTTAACATATATGATGCACTAAACTAACATAATAAAACATGCATATCTAATGTTCGAAGACCACACACAACACTGACATCGTTAACCCACTCTTCGCGAGTGTTTAGGCCTCATGCCCTAGTTAGCCCCTGAAGTGCCTCACGCACTGTAAATTCCCTACTAGGCCAACTATGGTAACCTAGCTTCACCCTAGCATAGCTAGACTCACTAAAGTGAGGTTATCCTCTCACTAGCTATTATCTTACTCATTCTCTAATCTAGAATGTTATGCCAAGGCTTATTAGTCTGTTACTGATATTATTTATTATGTTTTATTTTGGTCGTTCACTACTTAAGGGAGTCTTGGTCACTTTGACTCAAGAGAAGTCTCTACGCGTTTCGTGATTCACTGACGATTACTGAGTTTGCTTATTAGTCTGTTACTGATATAATTTTTTTAAAAAAATCGTTATATTATTAATATATTATTTTAAAATTAATCAATAATTATTTTTTGTGCTAATGAGATTCAGAGATTAAGATAATTAAGAGTATTTGTCATAGTATATTTAAGATCAGAGAGAAAAATCGACCAAATCAATAACAACTTAAATATTTGGATGATTTATAATATACAAATATGAAAACTCTATGCTCAATCGAAGCTGAATTTAATTTTTATTTAATTTGTAATTAATTTTTATCTTATACTACAAACAAAATTTCTATATTTCAATTAAGAAATTATAAATATTATTTAAAACTATTAATTGTTTTTATTTATTTGAAAAATTAAATTATTTATATATATATATATAGTATAAAAGACGGAATAAAAAATTAATATGAAAGATCGACAACCAAACAAATTAAAACGAACTAAGTGACTTCGGTGGTAACTGATAAAGGAGTTGTTATTTTTTGAGTTCTTGGATTTAAACCTCATGAATATCATGAGCATAAGGTTTCAATTGATACAAAATTGTACTTACCCAGCCTAATAAAAAAATCAAACTAAAGTAAATTACCCAGCCTATTAAAAAAATTCAAACTAAATTAAAAAGAACAGTTCAAAAATCTAATAATTCGACCAACCAAGCAGTCTCAGAATATATATATATATTATTTAATTTTTACTTCATGGCCTAAGATTTAAAACTATGTGCAGTACACAAGAACTGATGGCAAGAACGAAAAGATAAACGCAGATGCATAAATACTCTCTCTCTATACATAGATAGGAACCATCTATTGCAAAACCAATCGGTGACTGTGAGGGGGCAAGGATTCCATTGAAACACCATATGTGGTAAAAGCCAATGGTTATTGCAGTTAAATTTACTGATGGAATTAAAAGGAGTACCAACAATCCCGCGTGCACCTCGTCATCTATTAGATCTACGATTTCAATCATTCCATCGTATCATTTCATCTTCAACCTCCATCTATCCAAGGCGCTTCTCTGCTACTTCAATTTGAGTTAAGCTGCTGAATATCTGAGAAAACAAAACATATCAAAAACAATTCTATTTAAAGAGCGATTGTTGACCTGAGAAGAGAATTATAATTATACCTTAAGGAAGAAGAAGACGATCTAAAGTGAAATTCCATTACCTGCTCCTATAGTTCGTTGGTGAAGTCCCATCAGGAGCACTAGCATTGCCAACCTGGAAACTCTCAGCATTGTGAATGCTGTTCTTTGATGCTCTATTTGAGAGCCCTGAATTCTCTCTTGTGTCACTGCCAGCATCCGCCTCTGAGTTCATAACAAACCCACTCTTACCTTGAACCTGATATCTTTCTCTAAACGATGGATTATAGATTTCACTGCCATAATCTTTATCAGGTGTGTTACGTACTGCATTCAGCGAAAGCCTGCGCGCCGAACTAGAAAATCGACCTTCGCTTTTCCTCCAGAACTTGGGATTCAAAAACTCAGTGCCAGGCAGCTTGCAACATGTGTTATCTGGAGAATCCGTGTTTGGTATCCTACCACTTGAAATAGCCAAATCATGTGATATTTCATCCAGAGCCATCTCCAGGCCATTTACACGTGTCTCTAGGGAATTAATCCCACTTTGAGAGCTTCCAATGAATTTCTAGAATCAAATTGAGAAACACCATTGTTATTAAAATCACTTAAAAGTAGCAGAGGATGAAACAAGATTGCATGTAAAAGGAGATTTTTGGGTTGGGGATTATCCTCCATGGAATGGAGAAACAATATAAAGCACAAGCAGGCTTCAAAAGAACTTCAGAAAGTAGAGCATTACTACAAATACCATAACCAAGGGTTTTACCGGAAAAATTTAAACACAGTTCAAATCCAGTAGCTTCCAACGAACAACAAAAAAGAAATTACCCTTTGAAAGAGAAATTCAGCTTCGTAAACTACCTGGAGGAGGTTTAATAGATTGGATTGCTGGTCTTCAATCTGAGCAAGTTGTTCACGGATCAAAGACAGATCCTCCATTTCTTTGGAATTCTCATCAACATCTGGAAAAACATTTTTGTCACCAACATCCAAGATCTCATCATCATCATGAAGAGGAAGCACCCGAAACCCAGATCTCAAACCAACAAACTTCTTTACTTTTTCATCATGGACCTTGACAAAGGGTACATTCTTTTTGACATTGTCATCACCAGAGGCCTCGGGAAACAAAGAGTTCGGCTCGGGTATTCCAGTCTTCCAATTAGATGATTTTGAGCGGTCCAGCTTCTTGGAAGCATCAGATGGAGGGGACCTGCTCGTTGGGACTACTTTATTTGATTGTGGGGTTTTAAAACCATCATCATTGATACTTTTAGCAACTGAAGGAAAGCATCCAACGCTACCATTATCTGTTCCCACTATCAAAGCACACAATCATAAATGATGAAAGCTAATAGTTTACAGCAGTAGTTACCAACCATAAATGTTCTACAGCAGCACAATAATAGCAACCCTTAAATTTCTAAGTTTTAAAGTGAAACTTGTTGAAATTGATCGCTCACACTGAAAGTATCAAATTCTTGTACCTTATCCCAGAAAAAAAAAATGCAGTTCATATTATATCTAACTTTTAAGGGTTTCAACATGATTAATTTCCAAATATCAGACAATTACAAGCTAAACAAAATTAAATCACTGTTGTACCTATTGAAGATGAGTCGGACTGAGGAGGAGTTGAGGCCTCTTCACTAACTCCAGAGACATCCTTCCATAAACCCAGACTATGATTCATAGTTTCTCGGACAATCTTAACCTATAGCAACAAAATTTATCAAAACGATGAGCAATCTTCTTCTACTTTTTATTTTTTTCCCCCTTTTCGGGAAGAGAAATATAATTAAATGATCACGGAGTAAAGATACACACGGATGCACCTTATCAAACCTCTTGTTCTCAAGAGCAGCAACACACGCCACTTTATACTCCGCTGCGAGCTCTTTCTCCGCCATGGCCACTTTCCCTAACAACTCAGCCGCCGCCTTTCTCGTACCCCAATCTTCGCTACTCAAAGACTCTACCGCGGAAAGCACTAGCCAATCCAAGACTCCTTTACTTCCGGCGCCACCAACGCTGGCAACGCTTCCAATAACTCCGAACACAGCCGGTTTCGCTTTGAAACTTTCACTCCTCACTAATTTCCCCAACTTCGGCAACACCCTCTTAAGCTGCTCCGTCTCGGGATCCGGCGTCGCCTCGATCGCAGCCGACAAACACATAGCCGCTCCGATCTGCGAGTTGACGTCTTGCTCCACCACGAGCATTTCGATCAAAGGCTTCAACAGAACCGAAAACGGAGGATTCGTGATGTGAGACGACATTGCGGTAGTCGCCTCGACGCAAGCGGATCGTACGGCAGAGTCGGGGTCGCGGAGGCGATGAACGAGGGTGGAAATCATCTTAGAAAGGTGAGGAGATAGGACGTTACCGTGCGAGTGAGACATCGAAGCCAAAAGGATCACACATTTCCTCCGAACCGGAGACTTGGCCGAAGAGTCGATGTCGCGAAGGCAGTTAAGGAACGGAGAGATGGAATCGGCGTTCAGGTTCCGAGCGATTGACTCGAGCTCAGCTGAAGCGAGTGCGAGAGTGTCGCGGTCGGCGAGTTTGTTGAGACAAGTGAAAACGCGTTGCTTAAGATCGTGAAGTTGCGTTTGAGGACTCGGCGGTGACCTGTTCTTGAAAGACATTGTTGTTTATGGCTGACTACTGATTTATGCAACGCCCTTGTATATTGCATTCGAGGAATAGATAGTGTGGGTGGGAAATTGGCGGTCAAAAATGGTGGATTTTAGGAAATTGCGGCAGGGGAAGAAAGGTTTCAATTATAAATAATTGTGCCGATGCCCATATTAAATGTACCTACATATTGAATCGATCCGAACCGGACCGATCAAACTACCTTTTTTTAGTTTGGTATGTTTATTTTATACTTATAAAATTATAATTTTTATTAAATATATAATTATATGAGTAAAATAAATTTTAGATTTTAAAATTTTATATTTTACCTTTTTAATTTTTAAATAAAAGTTAGGGATGTTATCAAAATAGCACTTGTAACATACGCTTGTGATGTCGTTTAAAATCGTTATTGCATGACCATAATATATGTAAGCACCGTAACAATATACGTTATGTCAACAATCGCGATACATGTAACATAATTAAAAACATGATTGTGATCGTAATTTAAATTCTTGATAAAAAGCTATTTTAAATATTCTGAAAAATAGTTTTCTATACCATACATTTTAAAAATAACACTAGTCCTTAGCCTTATAAAATCAACTACTATTGGACTGTTAGTATCATCAATGAGATGAGAAATAAATTTCAACAGCTTTAACTTTGGTAGTTCAGAAAATGCCACCTGCTTCAAAGGATAGTACCATAATTAATATATCCCTTTATTGCATAAAAAAGATACTGCAAATATTACTATTATTGCCAAAATAAATAAAATAAAACAAGTGATCCTCTAGCTAATTTACTTAAATATATCAATTTTTTGAGATTATAAACAACAATTATCTCTTTATTCACCAAAGTTATTTGGTATGTGTAGAAGTATATTTTGTGTAATATATCTTTCAAAAATATATATATAACATAATGTATCTGTGTGATATATCTTTTAAAAATACATCCAATAATACAATATACTTACATATAAATCCTGAAAATTGGAATGGTAAAAAATATATATAATTTTACAAGTATATATCAGCAAACTAACCGGAAATACAGCATAATTGATGCATTCTCTAAGGTGGACAACTCCTGGAATTGGAATAACACCACATTATTATTATTGCTATTATTTGAATAAAAAAGCCATTGTGGTTATGATTATTGTTATTAAAAAACACATTTATGAATCACGAGACATGTTCGTTTAGTTTTATTTAATTCAATAATTTAACAGATAAATTAATAAAAACAGATGGGAAAATAAACGAGGGTGGTTTTGCTTAGAGGACACGTGGTAACATGAATATCCCAACTGTAACCATTTTGACTTATTATACATTCCAATTTCATTATTATTTGTCTAATTAAATTAAATCCCGTTGTTAATATAAAAAAACACTTAATTAAGGTATCTGGATTGAGATTCGAGTATAAGACCCACGTGACTAACATGTGTTGGGGTCTAGGTTAAAAAATAAAAGTAAATCTAGGCTTAGGCTTAGGCTTAGGAGGATATACACGATAGCTTAGCTGAGAATATATAATGTAGAGCATGTGAGGGGCGAAGAATGATGGGGACAAGAAGGGTTCAAAGTTCTGAATTCAACAGATAATCACGTGACTCCCAGTACGGTGCGGATGGGCGGCAAATACATTTCATCTACCTTATATAAAATAAAATTATTAATTAAGAAGCAAGAATCAATTGATCTAATGAAATAAAAGATTGTTTTCGAAATCAAACGATTAAATTGATGTTATAAATAGAATAAGCTAGATTTAGAAGATTATCCTCATTTTGAATTTTGTAATATTTAATCTAAATTAATCGATCAATAAAACGAATGTCGATTATTACATCAAAATGTAATATTAAATATATACATATTTCAATAAAATTAATGATGGTTTTTGATTGCCATTCAATTTCAAGGTTTCATCTTAATTAATCTGGACTGACCCAGGTCCCACACATAATTTTGGTGAATGAGTCTCTCTGCAGTGATTTTCTACATACATAATGACTCGAACCTGAAACCTTACTTAAGCGATATCAAGTTGCTTACCACTTGAATCAACATTCGTTAGTAATTAATGATGGTTTAAATTGTTATATTAACAACGAAAAATCTGAACATGATTAATTATATTTTAATTAGGGTTTCAATTCTTTTAATTTAATTGATGAACCCTAATTACATTGACAATGACAACTCTCTCTCCACTTGTGATTAATTGTTTGTTAAGAATGGGTGAAAAACATAGACGCATGGGATTTATGATGACCATGGATTATGGGAAGTTTTAACCCCCACTAATTTTGGGATTTGAAACAAAGGTAAAAAAGACCCACCGATTTTTGGTTGTTGTCGACACCCTACCAAAATCTAGGGCTTGCTTCGTCTTTAAGCGTTACTCTCTACATTTAACCAGTGATGAATTCATTAATATTTTCAAGGTTTGAAGTTTATTTATAAAATTTGAAGAGTTAAAATATAATTTTATTATTATATTAATGTCTAACTTTATAATTTTTTTTAAAATTAGTATTACATTGGAATTTTATTATTTTAATTTTTAACATCTAGATATTATCATTGTGCACTGATCATCAAGTATCATATATTATAATTTAATTGTTGGTAAAATATAATGTTAATATAACATATGAATTTAAGTTTTTGTTTCTAAAAAAATTGAAAGTAGCTTTAGTGGTTAAATGGGGGATTTGTTCTCCTTAACTATTAGCGAAATGATCACGTGCGGTAATCTTAATATACAGTTAAAAAAAGGAGCTATCAATTTTGTTATTATTTAAATAAAAAAACCGTTAAAAAATTACCGAAAATATTATTATTTCTATTGGTTTTATTATTATTAACAAAATCTATAAAGTGCTGCCGATTTTATTATTTTGTTTACTGATTTTATTATTATTGGATATTTTACAGATAATATTAAAAAATATTGATGTTTTAATTAAAAATAAAAATATTTTAGGTATTTTTTATCAGTTTTATTATTTAAATAATAACAAAACTAATAATATTTTTTTTAATCTTATATTAAAAGTGTCGCAGTATAAAATTTCACGTGGAGGACAAAGGAGACAACCTGGATAACAGGTAATTATATCATTGGTTGTTCCTCTGATTTAAAGGGATAGATAAGAATAATATAGCTTAGATCCACCCCATGTGATTTTTTTTTTTTGTCTGTAAAATTCATATATTTTTTATATAAATAGAGAAACAGTTTTGTCCTTCTCAGCGTTAATGCTGAGACTAGAATTATGAATTTCTATTTCCAAGCTTCATAATTTTGAACATGAAAAAAGATAATTAATATAATTAAGTAATTTTTTATTAACTACTGATTAATCTAATATGACGAGGCGTTAAATTTTTAGATAAAATCAAAATTTTGAATTTTAATGATGTAAATTAAATAAATCTAGTTGTCGTTCATGTAATAAACTTTTCAAATATTTAAACCAAATTAATCAAATACTAGCACAAATATTGTTATATTTAAAAGAAAATTTTACAACACATGTCATACACTGAAATGTACCACTAATTTAATAGGGTAAAATTTTTAAATGGTCACTAAACTAAACTAAAATAATTCTTTTGAATATTGAACTTTTAAAAGTTACATAATAACCCATTCAATTTGTCAATTGTATTACAAAGTGAATATCACATCTTTAATTATCATTAAAGGATACATAACATGTTAAATTAATAAAAAAAACTCCTTTGAATCCTCAATTGTAAACTAAATTTCATTTTGATATTTTTTTAATATTTATAAGTAACAATTCTAAAAAATCAATTTTTAAATATACATATAAGTTCACGATTCATTTTTAAAGTTATAAAAGTATTTTTTAAAAAATTATAACTTTATAATTAATATTTTAACAAATAAAATTATATTTTTTTTAGAAAATATGAATTCATTAATTCAATTTTTTTTATAATTATATGTTATTTAATTGTGATTATATTTGAAAATTTATAATTTATAATTTTTTAGATCCAACAATTTCAGTTATAAAAATGAAATAATTTTTTATTAAACAATGTGATTCAATTATTTAACTTTTTTTTAATAATTTTAAATATAATTTTAAAAATATATTTATAATTTTAAAATATCAAAAACAAAATTTTAGCCACAATTTATGGAGCAAATGAGATATTTTTTTATTAATTTCATGCGCCACATTAGCCTTTAACAATAGTTAAGTGTTAACACTTCTTTTTAAACGGAATCCAAAATTTAATACTCATTTTATAACGTTTTTAGAAATTGAATGACCAAAAAGATTAGTTTATCATAGTTAATGGCTATTTATAGGGGTGTTCAAAATTCGGTTTTAACCGAATTAACCGACCGAACCAAATTAATTTGGTTAATTCGGTGGCCACCAAATTATTTCGGTCGGGAAATAGTTAAGGTTTTTTTGGATATTCGGTTAACGGTTAATTCGGTTCGAAATCGGTTTATTAACCGAAATAAAATTTTAATTATTAAATATATTATATATAACATATGGGTTCAGTTCAAACCATTTAAACCTCAATTAATAATTTAAGATCCAATAACTTTTAAACCTAAATCAATATTAATTAATTAAAAAAAATTATATAAAATTTTTATTTTATAATTATATATTATTTAAATTAATTGTAAATTGTTTTCTAAATTAAAAAATACTAAATATATTATATATAACATACGGGCTTAGCCCAAACCATTTAAAACCCAATTAATAATTTAAGATCCAATAACTTTTAAACCTAAATCAATATTAATTAATTAAAAAATTTATAAAAAAATTTTATTTTATAATTATATATTATTTAAATTAATTGTAAACTGTTTTTCTGAATTAAAAAATATTAAATATATTATATATAACATACGGGCTTAGCCCAAACCATTTAAAACCCAATTAATAATTTAAAATCCAATAACTTTTAAACATAAATCAATATTAATTAATTAAAAAATTTATATAAAATTTTTATTTTATAATTATATATTATTTAAATTAATTATAAACTGTATTTTTGAATTATAAAATATTTAATTTTTATATAAATTAGAAAATTTTAAAAAATTTTGGCTAATTCGAAAATTAATCGAATTAACCGAA